GCTTCTTCCCTCCTGGCCTTCAAATCTTGACATAAATGTCACCTCCTTTTCCAGAGTGTTCTAATAAAGGTTATGTCATGTTCCTGTCTACACACCCAACTTTATCTTGCTCATTTTCCCTCTAAAGAGCTCATTGACACCACCATGTATTTCACTTATGAGATTACTCTATGTCCTCTTTCACTAGCATGTAAGCTCCCAGGTCAGAAAGTTTCAGTGATTTATTCAAGAATGTATTCCTAATCCCTACAGTCAAGTGCGGCCCCCAGTAGGTCTACACACCATGCGCTGCCTCACAGCTTGTCTACCACACAAGCGGGGGCACGTAGCTCACGTGACAGCGGGGGCACGTAGCTCACGTGACAGCGCCATCCCCTGGAGTTAGGAAACGTACCATCCTCACCGGAGCCCAGGAAACATTTGGTCCATTGACTTGAACAAAATATTTTGCCGTACGATTTTAAATACATCTCTCAGTAAGCTTTAAAAGAAAATATACCATTGAAGGAGCACTTCGGGCACCTAGAGAGCTGCAGAACAAAGGGGGATATGTATAAAAACTCCTAGATGGTGGGTTTCAACCTACCCTACCTGCACCACTTTAAATACTGTTTACTGACTGAAGCATTCTGAATTCCACTGGAGGTGGGCAGCTTCGCTCCGCTTGAGGAGTCTGCATAATCACTATTTTCCCACAAGATAATTGAACAGTAAGGGTTATTTAAAGTAGTCTTGGAGGAATTCCCAGTTTCCCTTGAGGAAAAAAGAAGCCTATGTCCTGGGAGTTTGTTTGGCCCTGAGAATCCACTGTTCAGGTGGCTCTTTTGTTTGCTTGAGATTAAATTCAATCCATTACTTCCAAGAAGTTTTGCCCTATTTCAGCAAGATTTGTCCGCCGATGTATCCTTCATAACATTCTGTCCTGGTGTCCCTCTTCCCGTTACAACTGATGACATAGTTTTATGGCTAAATAAATACACCAGCCTCCCTAACTTCCTGTCTGATTAACTGCGGAATGCCTCACTTCCCTGGGAGTGATGTCACAGGCAGCGCTCAGCCGGGTGAGTGGTCAGGAAACAGGCTGCCCTGAGGCCTCCAGGAGGGAGGACCTGCTGCTGGGTGGGGACTTTTCCAGTAAAGGAGGTGGGCTGTAGTCAGTCGTTACAACTGGCTCCCCGCCGTTAATGTGACCCAGAGACCACTTTCTAACGTGCTTCGGGACCCGTGAGGAATGAGCCGTCTGCTGGGGACGTGGTGACATTGCACAGCTGCCAGAGTGGCCGCCTGTCCACCCTGAGCTGCTAGCTTGCTTGCAGAGCTGAAAACACCATAAAACTGTCAACTGTCAACCCTTTATTTGTGTTTCTTTGTGTTCTTCCCGAGCACTTCCACGTTCCTCTGTGGAGAGGTACAGGGCAGGGCAGCCGCAGCCCCTCTGACTAAGTTGTGGGGGGCACAGTTCCCTCAGCAGCAGGGGTGATGTCATGACACCTCTTCATCTTCAAGGTCACCAGAGCGTGAACTTGCGATGGGAGGCGCGCAGGGGAGCAGGCTCGGGCGTGCTGGTCAGGGGAGGCGGGAAACAGTTTTGCACTCCTGGCTGCTGTACCAGAACTTAGGGTTGTGGCTGTACCACCGGAGGCTCTGAGGAACACGAAATTTGCATATGAGGTTAGAAACCCTTCCCTTTGGTCTCTCAGTGTGTCTCTCTTAGGCTGTAGAGAGGACACACGGGAACGGTGTGACGGAAGTCACATGAAACACAGAACTAGGAAGTATGAGCACCCCTGGGCCTCGCCTGCCGCTGCCCACCACGCCCGCCGCCGGGCCCCTCCCTGGGGGGGCGCCCTCCCCAGGTGGCCCGTGCAGCCCCTCCTGGTGGGCGTGGCCTGCCCACGCTCTGGTGGCTGCATCTGTTCTCAGGGCTGTGGCAGGCTCAGCCCCAGCTAGGGCTCCTCGCAGTTAGAGGAAGGAGAGGAGCCTCTCAGCAGCAGAGCTTCCGCAGCGGTGCCCTCAGCTCTCCCCAGTCATGCGATCAAGAAGAAGGGGCGCAGCCCTCCCCTCTGTGTATCGGGGATTCCATCTAAACACGGTGTGATAAGATCATCCCAGACTTGTTTGCCTATTAAATAAAAAACGCTGTGCAAAGTCTTGCACCCGCTAGGAAATACAGAGCTTGCTGTAATGAACAGGAATTTCCGATAGGACGAGAGGCGGAACCACATCCCTGTACTAGGTTTTGCCGTCAGGTGCTGTTGTGTTCCCCTACACAGATCCGTTCCACAGTCAGTTTTTGTTGGGAAAAAAGGAGCAAAACCATGACATGTGGTAGAGGTGTGGAGACTAAGTCACAAGCAGCTGAGGAAACAAATCTGATTGGGCTGATTTTGATTTGCTTTACTTTTTTCCCTTTGCTTGGATTAAAAAACACTCCTTGTTTAGAATGGAAATAAAGATTTTCTAGTGAATTTTTCCTTAACCAAGATGGCTCTTTTAAACCATGATAGACAGTTGTTCATCAATTTGCTCAGCCTTTCAGTCCTTTGGGCATGTGACCCCTAGGTGCCTTTCACCCCTAGGCAGGGGTGCAGTCCCCAGATTTGGAGGAGCCAGAGGGACTTTTTTTTTTTTTTTTTGGCAGAAGCAGGAATTGAACTCAGGCCTTTGTGCTTGCCAGGCAAAAACTTACTCTACTGAGCTATCTCCCCAGCCCCCAGAGGGACTTCTTAGAGGAAAGAGTATGGGACTGGAGACCAAGATAAAGAGCAGAACTGGCCAGACAGAGCAGCTAGGTGAAGGATCGGGAGCAAGAGAAGGCTCGGCTGGGGAGGAGCAAGCTCCACATGACTGTAGAATTGGGATCTGGGGAGGACAGGGAAGATCAAGATGGAGCTGAAGAGGGCAAGCACTCGGTCAAGTCTGCTGTGTATATGTGTCCAGCACACAAAGCTCACGGGGCAGCTGTGTAGTTCTATGAATGAAGGCCAAAGACTGGTATAGGTAGAGAAGAGCTTTCTTACACAGAGACCTCATGACATTCCTAATTTCCTCTGAGAGGTTATGAATTTGAAGAGCATCAGATACACTTGCATGTACACTGAGTCCTTCCTGCGAATGGAATGTGGGAATGCGCTAACACCCAGCAGTTGGATTTCTTTTCCAAGAATCTGAAACTGATTGATATTCTTATAACTTTGACTGTAAATAATGAATAATAAAGCTAAGTGAATAATGAATAATACATAATAAAGCAAATAATCTTGTATATCTGCTCATAGAAGAACAAAAATCTTTTAATTCTGAACTTAATCAAAGTTAACCAAATCAAAATATTTTGAATGTTCTGCACGAATAATTTTAAGGTCAACAAGGGGAGAAGCTTATGGCTGAACTATAAGCTTCCATCCTTTTTGCATCTTTGGAGCACGTTATGTCCCACAGAAGACCTACATGATGGCTTCTAGTTCATTCATCTAGTTCTTTTACTTGTCACTTTTTTTTTTTTTTTTTTTTTTTTTTTTTTTTTTTTTTTTTTTTTGCGGAACCAGGGATTGAACTCAGGCCCTTGTGCTTGCCAGGGAAGCACTTATTCCACTGAGCCATCTCCCTGGCCCCTTATCATGTATTTTAAATGGTTTTTCTACACTCAGTGGAAAGGAGTCTGCCTGAGTTCTCTTATATCTACGGAGCGCCTTAGCATGGGGGCGCATGTTTAATTGATAACACGTTATACCAAAGGCTTGGGAAAGAATTTAAATTTCACAGAATCTAATTTTTCCCAATTGTGAGAAAAAAAGACATGTGAAGCAAATATATTTCGTTGGTAGCTAAATGTTGCTGATGAGCTAACCTGCAGTTTCAAAAGGCCAGACTGCTAGGGAGACTCTTTCTGAGACAGGAAACATCAAAGGAGTGCTTCTCAAGGAAACACATAGTCTCTAGTGGACAACTCTGCAGGAAACGAAACCAAGCAAAGGAAGGATGGGAGTGCCAGCCTCGTCCTGTATTTTAGATACATACACACTGTTACACATAGTAAGAACCTCCTAACAGGGTCTGTGCTTTTGCTAAGTAGCACAATAGAATGACAAGGAACATAAAGCCATTTTAGTAATGCACTTGGTCCCTAAATAAACATATGACAATACTTAGGGTGTACGAAGCACTCAATAAATGTTTGTTGTTCTTGGGCTTTAGGGTTATTTCATTGTGTAGGGCCATGCTGACTAATATGGCAGCCTCAAGCCACAGGTGGCTGTCGAGTAATTGAAATGTTAATTGTTCATATTGAAATGTGGTCTAAATTTTTAAAAAGGGCGGGGGAGAGGGCTCAGGGGAAAAAGCACTTCCCTGGGAAGGGGAAGGGCCTGGGGTTAATCCCCGGGTTTCCCAAAAAAAAAAAAAAAAAAAAAAAAAAAGGACTGAATTA